CCTTAACCATTCGGCTTACGAGCCGAAGTTCAAGGAAACTGGGGGGCAATTATTGGACCCGATTTTACAATATCGGCCCGAGCAATCGAGGCCGTTGAGTGAGCATGGTTCTAAACCATCGGATAAGAAAGTTAAGATCATCTTGTTGTTGTTAAGAGATAATATTATGGCTTTAATCATAATAATTATCTTTTAATAAATTATCTTGATTTTCTCGTACAAGATAAATGGAATACAAAACAAGTCTACAAGAGATTCACATTCATGTGTATAAGGATGTGGATATTTTAAATTAAACATAGTTTTATTTGGCTGGATAATTGCATGATAACCTCATGCAATTATATGGGTTTTGATCCCGTCAAACATGGATGATTTTTCGTGGACATTTTAAATAGGTACTCATCCAATTTAAGATGAGGGCTGCTGGAAGATTAATCGGCGCATGCAAACCACATCAAAGATCAAATATAATCCTTCGAAGATCAAGCCATGTCAAACACATGGGAGATTGAAATTGGACTCTATTCAAGGATCAAGCCACGTCAAGCATGCATGTCTCTATAAATAGGAGTGGTTGTGCAACAAAAGGACTTCCAATTCAACACACAACTGCCCTGCGCAAACTCTCTCAACAACTTTGAGATTTTTTATTTTCTCTTTTCGCTGACACATCTTCCATTGGCATCAACAGCACTGTGAAAGCAACCGGTAATATCTTCAGTCGGCATAGATAGCTCTGTCACCGTAGAATCAGTTGATCTCGCAACATCTTCCGTTGGCATCAACAGCACTGCGGCGAGGACGATTGGTTATTTATCCAAGTCTCGGTTGAGAAGGATTTCCGGATCCTTATTGGTCGAGGTCATCTTATTAGCCTTCTCGGCGAAGTGAGGTGTTACAAGTTATTACATTCGGCACATTGAAAACCGAATTTGATATTGAACTTCGCAGAACTAGCAGCCTTGTTTTCAGGCTCTTGAACCCGAAGGCCGAGAGTGTTCCTTCCTCGGCCGCAGTCGCGAGATTCAGAAGTCAGCAGCGCACCCAACGCAACATCAACAAATTTTACTCCTCGGCATAGCTCGGCCGACGAGTTGGTACGCCCCGCACACAACCGAATGACGTAGTTAGCTTACTAATTACTCGGCCTGCGCGCCATGTAGGCTTGGTAGTTTTTAGGGTCAACAATAGTATACATATAACAAAGAGATGGTTTTTTCACACGAACCGAATAAAGAGGACCGCAAGGCTTAGTTTCCAGTTTTTTCATAAATAATTGAAATTGTATAGAAGTTAATCATCACAATTGGCATCAATCGGATGTACAACCATTCAAAAAATCAAAATTTTGTACCAAAAAAAGGCCCTAGATGGTGGAAATGCAAACCTACAAGCTGGAGATTTGAGAGCTTTTTCACCATGGAAATTTAGAATTGCAGATGCGGATTGTAAGATTTGTATCTGTGAGAGATGATGGCCCAGAGAAGAATTCAAGAGTCGAGAGACGATGCCTAGCAAAGAATTTGAGATTAGAGAGTCGAGACGGCCAACAAGAGAGAAATGTGTAGAACTGAGTTTGATACTTTAGGAAATTAGGTTAACAGGATAAGACACATGAACTTAATTGATTTAAATAATTTTTTATTTTTTTTAAAAAAAAACCACTTAGCTCCGCTTAGGGCTGCCTAAATGGCCACTTAGCTCCCGACCGATTTTTTGAAATGCTTTGCATAAAATCTCGACAGGCATTCACTGCCCAGCACCTAGGTAGCACCTAGGCTGATTTTAAACACTGGCTATTAAGCATAACCCTCGCCAAATGATCACCGATACCAAATTTTATTAAATGATTCAACCTCCTTCACTATCATAGAATGTCATTGTGGTTGATTTGATTCATCTCCCTTCGCCACTTGACGAAAATCCTCAAACCCCTTGTTGCATTCCTCCTCCATTTCGACATTTCTCTCTTGGGAATGCTTGTACAACTCAATATGGTTGCGACGTTTTTGTGACAATTCAAAATTTAGGAATGGGATCCATTCTCCAGATGTGTTAGCCTTCATTTTCTGCTTACTTGCATGATAGAGCATTTCATTGGGCTTACCGTTGAGGTCCACAAGCTCTTTTTCTTCCATTAGTAGCTTATGGTTCAAATACTCGGCGACGCCCCTCTCGTAATCAAGTCTCCCACAGACGTGATATATATTTTCCAGCGGTGTCTTTGAGTCGACAGAGCTAAACGATGATGTATTATTTACCTTGGGTGACCTCGGAAGTGGAGAAGGTTCCATATTGTACCACCCGTGGAACTTGGCTTTAAAACCCTCAATTTCATGTTTAGACTTGGACATGTATGTCTTGTGAATTGTTTTGGCTAACTGAGAAGTGGAATGCCTTTTTTGCTATAGGGTTTATGGGACCATGATTTTCCAAGGCTAGAGTAAGGCTAATCCGAATATTGTAACCTTAGAAGTTCGGTCATTGACTCACCAGCTTCGGGCGAAGCTGTATCAGACGAAGCAGGGTGCCACCATCACTTTACTCCAAGGTAATAGGCGGAGTCTGCTGGATGACCATGCTTGTTCCACAAGACGCGCGATCTGATTCGGATGTGGACACAATCAAGTCTTATAAGTCTTGGAGTCCCTACAATCTAGAGATAGGCGTACGCTGCAAGTAATCACAATTCCTAAGAGGATGCAATATCTACTTGATAGATATCCTCTAAGATTCTCCTGGCCTAAAGCGAGGATTCTATCCTAGAAATGTCTCATTTCCACGGTATAAATACACACATCTAGGGTTCATCTAGGGTTTATCTATGGTAACACAATCTATGCACTTGAATTCTCTTACCCACTACCTGAGCCTCAAATCATTCACAAACTTAACCGTTAGAGAGCCTTTGGTTGACACACCCCCTGGCTTAAGGTTTGTTCATAGTTGTTTTACTATTTTGCAGGTTGCTCAGGATTATGCAGATTTGTACTCAACCACCCCCACATAGGTGCACAAATTTGGTTCCAAGAATCCTCTCAGTCAAGGAAGAAAATATCGGTAATATCGGAAATATCGGTAGTTCGAAAACACGGAAATATCGATGGAAATATCGGGATAATATCGATATCGATAAAAATTACATGGAAACCACGGAAATTGTAAGAAAAACTTGGAAATTTTTAATGAAACTTTGCAGGATGTTTATTTAGTCAATTATCTATTAGTTTATCACAAAAAATTGGAAGGAAATGCATTGCATGATGAATTTAACTGATTTAAGTTGATTATATAGCGAGCTGGCAAACATTGTGAGTTTAGAAAATATGTAGTAATTAATGAAAGAAGTTTAAACACACCATAATCATTTATATATAATTAATTAGTACAATATTGGGAGGTTTTATTTAGGATATTAAAAAAAAAAAAAGGGAAGTGAATAAAATGATGAAGAATAATGTGCCGAATTTGACACTTTAAATTTCTTACACATAAGCATGCGTCTAGGCGTTGAAGTTCCAAATTATAGTATATCAATTAACGATTGAAAATCAATACGTTGAATAAGACTAAACTTTAATTTGGATGCTGATTATGTTTTTTCAAGTTTATATAAAGTAAAAGAATTGAATTTTGGAAGCCAGGAGTGTGTCAATTGTTTTATAATTCGTCCGAATACATATATCAGGTTGCTACTCAACGTAATTTGAAAGTATATCTAGTGCAAGGACTTGTCTTTTTTTGTTGATAAGCAAAGGGTTTGTAGCTTTTTTTGATAAGCAGTAGAACATATTATGCTTGTTTAATCTTTAGCATTTGATGGTTGTCCACAAATAAAGACAAAACGTTTTGGTTTTCCGGCCAAACCACGGCGAGTTGGCCGGCGTGCAAGGTATCAATCTCTTCGTCTCGTCGAGTAGTACAACTTTCCTTTTTGTTTCACTCAATTTCGTTGAGTATTGAAAAAGTTATACTCATTTGAATCTTACCCATTTTCCGGCCAAATCACGACGAGTCAGACGTCGTGTGAGGTACCATTCTCTTCGTCTCTTCGAGGGCTACAACTTTCGTTTTTTCCTTGCTTGATTTTGTTGAGTTTTGACAAAGTTATGGCCGTTTAAAGTAGGTGTGGATTTCCAGCCAAAATTCCGATTTTCTCTCCCATTGGGTCGAGTCCCACATCGCCCACGCGAGGGCAGTGAGCAAGCAAGAAGGCCTATAAAAGCCACATTCCCAAGCTGAGAAAAGCATGTCTTGCTCAGCTTTGGGCTATGATCAAGTGTAGTATGTGTTGAGATTTCTCAGCATTTTTAAGTATTTTTGGATATTATCGATAATTTCGAAAATATCGCGATATTATCGATAATATCGCGATATTTTGACGAAAACCCTTTGGATAGTTAAAAAAATATCGGACCCCCAAAAAAATATCGCCGATATTATCGATTTTTTCTTCCTTGCTCTCAGTCAACAGAAGCCTTTTTAGACCCCTAGGAACCTAGAATATCATGCAATCATGCAAAGTTCTCTCTCATGCTAAACTGATAAACTTTTAGTTTACACACTTGAGCAAGCCATTATTTACTTAATCATGTTATCTTTGAGTCATTGATGTAACTGGAATATTTCCTAATGAGTGTTAATTCTTTCGAAATATTCCGAGACTTGGTACAAAAGTGAATCAAGAGAAGCAAAAGAGTACTCACAAAGCCCGAGTCCACCTCGAACTAAAGTCCCCCAACAAATAAATTTATAAATTTGATTTTTTTTTTCTTAAATTGAATTTGGACTGTTGGTGAACCAGCAGTCCAACCATATAAGTAATCCAATTAATAAAATAGTCATTAGTCTTTCTGCAAGTGACTGGCAACGTTAACAATTGGGTCCTAGCCAACATTGGCTCATTTTCTATGCTAAATTTGACAAAAAATAAGTTTAAACCAAATTGTTTTATTAGCCCAATAATTGAAGAAGCTTGGACGAGTTCAAACTTAAATTTTGAGTCTTAACTATCCATTTGGTGTTGGTGTGAACGTTTCTCCAATTGTTAACATGCAGTTGGTTCAATAGTTACAGAGAGACAGGAGCAATAGGACAAAAATGGTGAAACCCTCCATTGAAATCACAGAGGACTTCGCTTCCGCAGCAAAAATTGCAGACGACATTCCTCGGGAAGACGTAATCAGAGTTCTGAATTTTCTACAAGGAGTTGGGATCTCGGACCCCGTGCCAGATGAGTTCGATGCTAGAAAGGATACCTACTCCGACATCATTCGTGACCTCCTGAAGCCCCTTCACATATCCCGTGGTCGTGTCACCTGCCTCGTATCTGTGAAACCTGCTGTCACTGTAATCTATCTTCCCCTCTTTTGTTTCTATTTTTTGTTTCAATTTTTAGTTTTCAGTGGTTCTGTTTGGTTGCTCAGAAAATTCTAGAAATGGGTTATTTATTCCCAAAAGTGGGAATATTTGAGGGATAGGATTGGACCCTTTTGGGATTTGTTTGATTTGAATTGGGTTTGATTGTTTTTGGTATCTGGGTTTGACTGAATGGAGCTGTGTGCTTGTTTGGTTGCTGAGAAAATTGTTGCTTGATTTAAAAGGGTGTTTGTGTAACCAAACTAATGATCGGCTTAGATCCATTCTATTAGCTTGTCTGATTGAGACTTTGACCTAAAGCAAAGCAAAGATACTTTGTTGAATTCCGCCAATTTGCTCACTAATGTGCACTTGTATTTCAATTTGACGTCTATTTCAATTGTTCTTGTATTTCGGGTTAATTTTCTTCTCTTTTCGTTTGTTGTCTTTGAAACCTAACAAACGTAATGATGTTTTATTGATGAATATGCAGAATTTCTATTCCGGATTTCATGGAGGAGCAATTGCTGCTGTTGCTGAGGCTGTGTCTGTAGCTTGTGCAAGAACCGTCGTGGCTAATGATAAGGAGCTTTTTCTGGGGGAACTGAGCGTTTCTTACCTCTCTAGTGCAACAAAGAATGTAAGTCCCGTAGAATTTACATTTGTTTTTTTATAAATGGCGCTATATAAAGTTTGATGCACATGCCAAAATAGAGTGGAAATGAATTCAAACTTTACTATAGATTATTTAGCTGTCTTCGTTGGAGATCGAATGGTCTTCGGAGGCATTTCAAATGGTAATTGTATTGGTATAGAATGTCAAAGGAAGAAATTAGGATTTAGGATCTTGTTGGCGCTTAAAACTTGTAAATTGTGAGGAGGATTTGTACCTTCTGTGTGCAATTCCTTGAATGTCAAGGGTCTGCCTTTTGTGCATCTTGATGCAGAGAACTTATACTTCTGTCATTCTTGAGTCGTTTCTTCTTTTTGTTAATAAAATCTCTTACTAATTAAAAAAGAGGTTGCTCGCTGTACTTTGAATCCACTTTCTGAAGATGCCAATGTGGAATTGTGTTATCACAGATTGTGATACCAACTGAAATGGGCCAAAAATTGGGATATACAGCCGGTGCTAAGTTTCCAAACCTTAAACGACATAACGTGGCTGTATCATACTTGATTGACTCAGGCTGATAGTGGCTTTGAAACCCCCCCAAACTCTGTTTAGGTATAGGTTCCAAGAATAACTGCCCAAGTTGCACACAATGCTCCCAGATTTTGATGAAACTATTAAAAAATTAAGCAGGTATTCAATTTGTTTTTGGACATCGGTTAAGGTGCAATCAGCTAACCACGACATTCGTGCTGTTATTCTTGCTGTTCATTTCTTTCTGTTTTGATTATAGTTTGCGTTATTCATGCTGTTCATTTCTTTCTGTTTCGATTTTTACTTTACCTGACGGGACTTTTACAGGAAGAGGTGATAGTTGACTCATCTGTTGTTCGGAGTGGAAGAAATCTGAGCGTGATAGCTCTTGAATTGAAACTCAAGAAAACCGGGCGCTTGGTTTACACTGCTCGTGCTACGTTCTACCATACGCCTGTTGCAAAATTATGATTCGCCTGTCAAATATCTCTCTATTTGTTTACCCAAATTTGTACCTCATCGGCACATTTCTATTGCATATCTTGTCAATTTTTATGACTGTCTCCCATGTCACAATGTATTGTGATAATATGGACATAAGATCCGTAGAGAATCTTCTTATATGTGATTTTAACTGCGAAATAGGTTATCATTTAATAACATTGGAGCTAATTATATGTACGTTTATGCATACGAAAATAACGTTCTCTACACGAGTTTCATATCCCCCAACTTTGTATCTCTCTCCCCTCGCGCAAGGAAAGGTTGGGAGACGTGGGACGTGCAGCGGGGACACTACAGTTTACTGGTATGTAAACAATGTATCTGTCATTTCAAGCTTATGGATCTTAATTCTGCATTCCCTTGAAACAAAGTACAAAACTAATGCAACCAACAATTCCTGAGGACCTTCCTCAACATCTCTGTAACCAAGTAACACTTGTACAAATCCACAAATCCTACGAGGGAGAGCTTCTTCCTTTACGAACCTCTTCAGCTGCCAGTCTTTGTTATTTCTGCCACGGGCTTGCAGGCCAGGTCCATCAATCGACGTTTATTTCAACGCGTGAAGCTCAAGAAATCGTCCTCACTTAGGTAAGCAGCAGCAGAACCAGAAGAAGACAATGCATGGGCAATTTTGACATTCCGTAGTTTGAATTTGGAACGGAATGGGGAGCACTTGCAGGGGTGTATACCGGTGTATGTCATGTCCAAAGACTAAATATTTGTCACCTATTGCACCTTGGAGGCTGCCATGTAATCACTTACCTCCTGATCGACGGGCTATATCATCCATACGATGAGTCTGAAGACGACTTGGAGAAGATGAAAGTGGTTATCGTACAATTTGTACATTGAAGTTGAGACGGCTTAGTCTTCAAATTATCAAATTAGTATTCAAAGAGTTGCTTCCTCCTGTGATAATGGAATACGATGCTAATCGGGGATACTTTGCTGACTTGATTGGAGCTTTTTATGTTTAATGCTGCTGCTGCTTTGGAGAGAAGTGAAAGGTTGAATGCGGGAGACCAATTCCTTAGTAGTTAAAGTCCCTGGACAAGCATAGAGGGTCTTTGAACTTTTTGCACCAAAATAATGCACACTGAGTACTGACAAAACATTGCAAGAGAAATCATGGCGGAAACCGCCCAGCGGCCTAAGGCTTGGCAATTTTGCATCAACTCTAAGCCTTAACTTCCAGCCTACAGCACCAATATGGCGGAAAATAGCACTACTTCATGACCAATAATAATCGTGATTGTCTGAAAAACCTAATGTGTGATTTTCAACTTGGAAGTTTCATCCTAAGCACCGATCTCAGTACACGGACAAAACACCGACCCTCCAGCACACACATATATATGGGGATCCGGTAATTCTCTACAAAACAACAACAACAACAACAAAGCCTTTTCCCACTAAGTGGGGTCGGCTATATGAATCCTAGAACGCCATTGCGCTCGGTTTTGTGTCATGTCCTCCGTTAGATCCAAGTACTCTAAGTCTTTTCTTAGAGTCTATTCCAAAGTTTTCCTAGGTCTTCCTCTACCCCTTCGGCCCTGAACCTCTGTCCCGTAATCACATCTTCGAACCGGAGCGTCAGTCGGCCTTCTTTGCACATGTCCAAATCACCGGAGCCGATTTTCTCTCATCTTTCCTACAATTTCGGCTACTCCTACTTTACCTCGGATATCCTCATTCCCAATCTTATCCTTTCTCATGTGCCCACACATCCCACGAAGCATCCTCATCTCCGCTACACCCATTTGTGTACGTGTTGATGCTTCACCGCCCAACATTCTGTGCCATATAACATCGCTGACCTTATTGTCGTCCTATAAAATTTTCCCTTGAGCTTCAGTGGCCTACGACGGTCACACAACACGCCGGATGCACTCTTACACTTCATCCATCCAGCTCGTATTCTATGGTTGAGATCTCCATCTAATTCTCCGTTCTCTTGCAAGATAGATCCTAGGTAGCGAAAACGGTCGCTTTTTGTGATCTTCGCTAGATTGCTCCGGTCATTAGTGTGGATAAGTATATAAATGGATAGAGATAGGAAAGCAAACACAAGATGTACGTGGTTTACCCAGATTGGCTACGTCCACGGAATAGAAGAGTTCTCATTAATTGTGAAGGGTTTACACAAGTACATAGGTTCAAGCTCTCCTTTAGTGAGTACAAGTGAATGATTTAGTACAAATGACATTAGGAAATATTATGGGAGAATGATCTCGTAATCACGAAACTTCTAAGTATCGGAGTGTGGTGTCGTCTTGACTTGCCTTATCTGTCTCATAGGTAGATGTGGCATCTTCTCTGGAAGTACTCTTCCTCCATCCAGGGGTGGTATCTTTAACTGGTGGAGATGCACAAGGTAATGTATCAATTTCACTTGAAGCTTACTTGTAGTTTCAGGCTTGGTCAAGCGCGATACAAACCATGTAGTAGGAGTCCCCCAAGTCGCCGAGCTAGGGGGTCTGCTGAAAGAGGTGACAGACAAGGTAAGCAATCAGAGCTCCGACTGATTGTTCACCTTCTCCCCATCTTGCAGCAGCATGAAGGATAAAGAGAAGAAAAATGAGAAGAGATGATATGAGATACTTTTGCTTTTGAAGAAGTAACTTTCCACAGGCTTATTCTTGAACTGAGCTGGAGGGTTTTCTGGTTTCCTCCAAAGTATATAAGGCCGACTGAAGAATTTGAGGGTCAAAACAAGTCCATCAAATCTAGAGTACGTTCCACCCTGCTGATATGGGATACTTTTGCTTTTGACAGAGTAATGGATGTATCGGCACGTGTGCTGTTACGCTTGTCTCCACATGCTTCCTTGTATCCTTCGCACTTGCCCTATCTGTTCCTCAAGCAGATGCGGAATCTTCCCTGGAAACATAAGATGTTGAAGATGAGTACTCGAGAGCAATGCCAGGTAAGTAATCAGGTACGGGGTTCCAGGCAGTCAGTTCCTGGCTGGAAGCTTGATTCCAAGTGCTGACTGATTGCTCTCTTTCTCCTTGTCTTGCAGGTAAAAACAAGGCCAAAGGAAAAGACAGGGAAAAAGCATGATATGGGATACTCTTGCTTTTAACCCTGATGATATGAGATATTCTTGCTCTAGTATAGCTTGTTTGCAGAGGTATTATCGGGGGGAAAGAAAGCTGAATATTTCGAAAGGCTTCGTTGGGAGTGCCCTCTCAGATATGATGAAGGGTTGAGCATTTTTGCAGGTCTGCCTGTCCTTTGGGGATGGAGGTGCGACATATATAGGAGTCTCCCTAACAACAAGTAGTAATGTTATTCCTTTACCCTGCTTGGTCATAGCACGGTAGTGGGAGCTGCCAGTTTCACATGTTTTAACTCTATCAGAGCACTTTGAAAAAGTGGTCTGTGGTATCTGGCTCTCGAGATTCGGAGAACGATGCCTCTTCGATTTTTGAGAAAGCAATCATGCTGGGGGTCTGGCTCTCGAGATTCGGAGAGCAGTGTCTCTTCGATTTTTGAGGAAGTAATCATGTTGGGAGTCTGGCTCTCGAGATTCGGAGGGCGGTGCCTCTTCGATTTTGGAGCAAGCAATCTTGTTGGGAGTGTTGTCTCGAATGTGAGTAAAGGTTGGGCATGTTTGCTAGTCTACCTTGCCACGAAGCACAAAGGTTGACACACAGGGACTTTCCAATTATCCAGCAATGGTACTGTTCTTTTACCCTCTCTTCGATTTTGAGAAAGTAGTCATGTTGGGAGTCTGGCTCTCGAGATTCGGAGGACGGTGCCTCTTCGATTTTGGAGCAAGCAATCTTGTTGGGAGTGTTTTCTCGAATGTGAGTAAAGGTTGGGCATGTTTGCTAGTCTACCTTACCACGAAGCACAGAGGTTGACACACAGGGACTTTCCAATTATCTAGTAGTGGTACTGTTCCTTTACCCTTGTAGGTAATAATATGGTAGCTAGACCTTCAAAATTTATGTGTCTAAACTTTGTTAGTGCTGTTTCTTTGCTATTCTTTTACCTTTCTTGGTCAGAGCGATGTAGTGGGAGCTGCAAGCTTCACGTGCTGAAATTTGGCAGAGAACTTTGGCAAAGTTATCTGTGATACCCATGAGCTAGTGTTGCGTGTGGGAAGTGGGTGATTGAACAGTAAGATTGATGTGCTTTCTACTTCACCAGAAGTCTTCGACAGAATGCCCATAATTTCTGCAAAGCTGAGTGTGCGTGTGACAGGTGCTGACAAGGCTAGAAAAGTAGGTGCCTCTTCGATTTCTGAGATCGGCCCTCGTGGTCTCTGAGCAGCCCAGCTTTTGAGAAAAGCGAGCGCCTCTTCGATTGATTCGGAGAACGATGCCTCATCGATTTTTGAGAAAGCAATCATGCTGGGGGTCTGGCTCTCGAAGATTCGGGGAGCAGTGTCTCTTCGATTTTTGAGAAAGTAATCATGTTGGGAGTCTGGCTCTCGAGATTCGGAGGGCGGTGCCTCTTCGATTTTGGAGCAAGCAATCTTGTTGGGAGTGTTTTCTCAAATGTGAGTAAAGGTTGGGCATGTTTGCTAGTCTACCTTGCCACGAAGCACAGAGGTTGACACACAGGGACTTTCCAATTATCCAGCAATGGTACTGTTCCTTTACCCTCTCTTCGATTTTTAAGAAAGTAGTCATGTTGGGAGTCTGGCTCTCGAGATTCGGAAGACGGTGCCTCTTCGATTTTGGAGCAAGCAATCTTATTGGGAGTGTTTTCTCGAATGTGAGTAAAGGTTGGGCATGTTTGCTAGTCTACCTTGCCACGAAGCACAGAGGTTGACACACATGGACTTTCCAATTATCCAGCAGTGGTACTGTTCCTTTACCCTTGTGGGTAATAATATGGTAGCTAGACCTTCAAAATTTATGGGTCTAAACTTTGTTAGTGCTGTTTTCTTTGCTATTCTTTTACCCTTCTTGGTCAGAGCGATGTAGTGGGAGCTGCAAGCTTCACATGCTCAACTTTGGCAGAGAACTTTGGCAAAGTTATCTGTGGTACCCATGAGCTATTGTTGCGTGTGGGAAGTGGGTGATTGAACAGTAAGATTCATGTGTTTTCTACTTCCCCAGAAGTCTTCGACATAATGCCCATAATTTCCGCAAAGCTGAGTGTGCGTGTGACAGGTGCTGACAAGGCTGGAAAAGTAGGTGCCTCTTCGATTTCTGAGATCGGCCCTCGTGGTCTCTGGGGAGCCCAGCTTTTGAGAAAGCGAGCGCCTCTTCGATTTCTGAGATCGGCCTTCGTGGTCTTTGAGCAGCCCAACTTTTGAGAAAGCAAACGCCTCTTCGATTTCTGAGATCAACCCTCGTGATCTCTAAGCAGCCCAGCTTTTGAGAAAGCAAACGCCTCTTCGATTTCTAAGCAGGCGCCTCTTCGATTTCTGAAGCTCCGTCGAGTGCAGATTTTTATAGGGGCTGACATTAAGTTCCAAAGCACATTTGAATCTCCACCAGTAGAAGCTTCATTCTTGCACTTCTAAGATCTTGATTTGTCCGACCTCTTCTCTCTTCAACACCTTTGAAAATGTCTGGCCCCTCCGACCGTCGTTTTGACTTGAACCTTGTTGAAGAGGCAGCCCCGCCTTCTCCAGACAACATATGGCGCCCATCCTTCGTCTCCCCTACTGGTCCTCTTACCGTTGGGGATTCCGTGATGAAGAATGATATGACCGCTGCGGTGGTGGCCAGGAACCTTCTCACTCCCAAAGATAACAGACTACTTTCCAAACGGTCTGATGAGTTAGCTGTTAAGGATTCGCTGGCTCTCAGTGTTCAGTGTGCAGGTTCTGTGTCTAATATGGCCCAACGCCTATTTGCTCGAACCCGCCAAGTTGAATCATTGGCGGCTGAAGTGATGAGTCTCAAACAGGAGATTAGAGGGCTCAAGCATGAGAATAAACAGTTGCACCGGCTCGCACATGACTATGCTACAAACATGAAGAGGAAGCTTGACCAGATGAAGGAAACTGATGGTCAGGTTTTACTTGATCATCAGAGATTTGTGGGTTTGTTCCAAAGGCATTTATTGCCTTCGTCTTCTGGGGCTGTACCGCGTAATGAAGCTCCAAATGATCAACCTCTGATGCCTCCTCCTTCTAGGGTTCTGTCCAGTACTGAGGCTCCAAATGATCCCCCTTCGGTGCCTTCTCTTTCTGGGGCTCTACCGACTGCTGAGACTTCTCCTAAGCAACCTTTGTGAAGGCTCCCTCTTGTGTGTTTATTTTGACTCATGTATATGTACATATTTGTAGCTTATCGGGGATATCAATAAATAAGCTTTCCTTCATTTCAACGTACTGTGTTAAATACACCAAAGCCTTCTTCGCTAAGTTCTTTGAATTTTCTTTTGTTGAAGCTTGTATGTTGAAGCTTTCTGAGTGGAGCATGTAGGTTGGGGTAGTGTTTCCTTAATTTTCCGAGTGAGGAAAACTTCTCGGTTGGAGACTTGGAAAATCCAAGTCACTGAGTGGGATCAGCTATATGAATCTTAGAACGCCATTGTGCTCGATCCTGTGTCATGTCCTTCGTTAGATCCAAGTACTCTAAGTCTTTTCTTAGAGTCTCTTCCAAAGTTTTCCTAGGTCTTCCTCTACCCCTTCGGCCCTGAACCTCTGTCCCATAGTCGCATCTTCTAATCGGAGCGTCAGTAGGCCTTCTTTGCACATGTCCAAACCACCGTAACCGATTTTCTCTCATCTTTCCTTCAATTTCGGCTACTCCTACTTTACCCCGGATATCCTCATTCCTAATCTTATCCTTTCTCGTGTGCCCACACATCCAACGAAGCATCCTCATCTCCGCTACACACCCATTTTGTGTACGTGTTGATGTTTTCACCGCCCAACATTCTGTGCCATACAGCATCGTCGGCCTTATTGCCGTCCTATAAAATTTTCCCTTGAGCTTCAATGGCATACGGCGGTCACATAACATGCCGGATGCACTCTTCCACTTCATCCATCCAGCTTGTATTCTATGGTTGAGATCTCCATCTAATTCTCCGTTCTTTTGCAAGATAGATCCTAGGTAACGAAAACGGTCGCTCTTTGGTATTTCTTGATCTCCGATCCTCACCCCTAACTCGTTTTGGCCTCCATTTGCACTGAACTTGCACTCCATATATTCTGTCTTTGATCGGCTTAGGCGAAGACCTTTAGATTCCAACACTTCTCTCCAAAGGTTAAGCTTTGCATTTACCCCTTCCTGAGTTTCATCTATCAACACTATATCGTCTGCGAAAAGCATACACCAAGGAATATCATCTTGAATATGTCCTGTTAACTCATCCATTACCAACGCAAAAAGGTAAGGACTTAAGGATGAGCCTTGATGTAATCCTACAGTTATGGGAAAGCTTTCGGTTTGTCCTTCATGAGTTCTTACGGCAGTCTTTGCTCCTTCATACATATCCTTTATAGCTTGGATATATGCTACTCGTACTCCTTTCTTCTCTAAAATCCTCCAAAGAATGTCTCTTGGGACCCTATCATACGCTTTTTCCAAATCTATAAAAACCATGTGTAAATCCTTTTTCCCATCTCTATATATCTTTCCATCAATCTTCGTAAGAGATAGATTGCCTCCATGGTTGAGCGCGCCCTGGCATGAACCCGAATTGGTTGTCCGAAACCCGTGTCTCTTGCCTCAATCTATGCTCAATGACTCTCTCCCAGAGCTTCATTGAATGACTCATTAGCTTAATACCCCTATAGTTCATGCAATTTTGTACGTCACCCTTATTCTTGTAGATAGGCACCAAAGTGCTCGTTCGCCACTCATTTGGCATCTTCTTCGTTTTCAAAATCCTATTGAAAAGGTCAGTGAGCCATGTTATACCTGTCTCTCCCAAAAGTTTCCACACTTCGATTGGTATATCGTCTGGGCCTATTGCTTTTTTATGCTTCATCTTCTTCAAAGCTACAACCACTTCTTCCTTCCGGATTCGACAATAAAAAGAGTAGTTTCTACACTCTTCTGAGTTACTCAACTCCCCTAAAGAAGCACTCATTTCATGTCCTTCATTGAAAAGATTATGAAAATAACCTCTCCATCTGTCTTTAACCGCGTTCTCTGTAGCAAGAACCTTTCCATCCTCATCCTTGATGCACCTCACTTGGTTTAGGTCTCTTGTCTTCTTTTCCCTTGCTCTAGATAGTTTATAGATATCCAACTCTCCTTCTTTGGTATCTAGTCGTTTATACATATCGTCGTAAGCCGCTAACTTAGCTTCTCTGACAGCTTTCTTCGCCTCTTGCTTCGCTTTTCTATACCTTTCACCATTTTCATCGGTCATCTCCTTGTATAAGGCTTTACAACATTCCTTCTTAGCCTTCACCTTTGTTTTGTACCTCCTCATTCCACCACCAAGATTCCTTTTGGTGTGGGGCAAAGCCCTTGGACTCTCCTAATACCTCTTTTGCTACTTTTCGGATACAACTAGCCATGGAATCCCACATTTGGCTAGCTTCCCCCTCTCTATCCCACACACATTGGGTGATTACCTTCTCTTTGAAAATGGCTTGTTTTTTTTCTTCTTTTAGATTCCACCATCTAGTCCTTGGGCACTTCCAAGTCTTGTTCTTTTGTCTTACTGTTTTGATATGTACATCCATCACCAACAAGCGATGTTGATTAGCCACGCTCTCTCCTGGTATAACTTTGCAATCCTTACAAGTTATACGATCCCCTTTCCTCATTAGCAGAAAATCTATTTGTGTTTTTGACGACCCACTCTTGTAGGTGATCACATGTTCTTCTCTCTCTTCTTAAAGAAGGTGTTGGCTAAGAAGAGATCATATGCCATTGCAAAATCCAAGATAGCTTCCCCATCCTCGTTTCTCTCCCCAAAACCATGGCCACCATGAAAACCTCCATAGTTGCCTGTCTCCCTGCCCACGTGTCCATTTAAATCTCCTCCTATAAATAACTTCTCTGTCTGAGCAATTCCTTGCACCAAGTCTCCAAGATCTTCCCAAAATTTCTCCTTCGAACTCGTATCCAACCCTACTTGAGGTGCGTACGCACTAATCACATTGATAAGTTCTTGTCCTATTACAATCTTGATTGCCATGATTCTATCTCCTACCCTCTTGACATCTACAACATCTTGTACCAAGGTCTTGTCCACGATGATGCCAACACCGTTTCTCGTTCTATTTGTGCCCGAATACCAAAGTTTAAACCCTGAGTTTTCTAGATCATTTGCCTTACTACCAACCCACTTAGTTTCTTGTAGGCACATAATATTTATCCTTCTCCTCACCATAACTTCCACTACTTCCATAGATTTTCCCGTTAAGGTTCCTATATTCCACGTTCCTAAACGCATTTTGCTCTCTTGAACTCTACCCTTATGTCCTAGCTTCTTCACCCTCCCCCGTCTAATAGGATCAAAGTACTTCTTTTGTGTGTCCCGGGTAAAGTTGATAGGAGCATATGCTCCCAAACAACTTTGAGTGGAGTCGTTCGAAAAGAAGTTTCTATGGCCCCCTTGCTCATTTAACACTGCATCCGGGTGCCGATGGAGATACAGCGACCCTTGCTCACTTATCACTGTGCTCGGGCCACACAGCGCGCCACTTACGGGTGACGCTCTAGCTTTAGCGCGATTTTGTTCTGGATTCATTTTCATAAGGATTCGACGTGATCATGGAGTGCCGGCTGTCGACTACCTGACGCCATCCCCCTCCTCCTTTATCCGGGCTTGGGACCGGCCATGTAAGACATAGGCGGAGTTCCGGTAATTCTCTACAATGCGAGAAAAAACATCTGATTAAAAATCCCTCACATCTACTTGCCTTGAAAAAGAAACATAACATCTGAGATCAGGAGATTATAGTCACTTGATGTATGAGACTTGCACACTCACCTACATTCGGACTCTGAAAATATGGCATTAACAAAGGCCTCTGGATCAAACGGTTGGAGGTCTTCTACGCCTTCACCAACACCCACAAACTTTACAGGGATGCCGAGCTCATTCACCACACTGACCTAAAATAAGATACAACCTTATAATTAGTGAGGGCTGAAAAAGAGACTTAAGAATTAAGCCTTGAAAATAACAGAAGCTACGTCAATAACTCAATTCAAAATTGAAAACTATATGGGACAGAAGATTTGAACATACCACACAGCCTCCTCTAGCAGAACCGTCAAGTTTTGTCAAAATCATACCAGTTATACCAACAATCTGTCACAATATGTACAAGGCAAACAATCAAAACACAAATGAGGTGGCACAAAGAATTATAGTACAGATTAAGGGCAAGATATTCAATCAAATATTGATAGGAGCATATTTATGCGACTTAGTTAGCTTGTTTTCTTGCACTTTTATAGTTAGTTTGTGGTTATTATAGTGTTTTAAGCTATTTTCGTGTTTTTGTAGGTCCTAATGACAAAGTTAGCAAGAAAGTGCATTTTGGTGCATTTTGGAGCAGTTTTGGGCACTAAATGGATAGCACATGTATGGGCCAAGGTGGATGGACGTTTTTGGAGTTCAAAAGGCTAAGAATCTGATAAGGAGATGAAGAAATTAAATTCAAGACAAAGAAGATAAGGAATCAGCTCAAAAGAGGAAACATTATCCAAAACCTTATCCAACCTTATCTTATCCAAACTAACCTTATCTTATCTTATCCTATCCTAATTTTATCATGCCTTAATCCTAGCTGCAAGGGGACCTAAATATATATTTCTAGAACCTATTTCTAGAAGCATTCTCTTTTAGAAGTCCTAAATCAGCCACAAAACACATTGTTTACAAAAGTGGCACCTATTTCCTTCTAGAAGGCTTTTGCCTTGCCTTGCAATCCACTCTCCTTTCCCTCCAATGTGTGCCGCACATTTCCTCACCCAATTCCCCTTGGATTCTGATTATATTAGCCTTATTCCTTGTGGATTTGGGTTATACAAATCCTTTTCAGAAATTAATTGGGCGAAACCCTTTCCTCAGTGGATTTCATTAATTGTGCCGAACCCTAGAGCCCTAATCCTTAAAATCTGCTAAGTTGTAACCCTAATCTGATTAACCCTAGCCTTGCCGTGCCTATATATATGTGTTTTACGCCAAAATTCGTCACCACCCCTCATACCATTCAGAAACACTTTTGCCGCAACCATATACACCATTCTACACCATTCTACATCATTCTACACCAACATACATCTCTGCCGCACCTTTGGAGAGGAAGAAGATCCTTGCCGTGCATTCCATTGATGAAGGAGGACCTTGTGCACAAGCCATTTGCATCCTTGGGAGTTCTAAGAGTTCTTTCTTCCCTCGTTTTAGTTTCAATGTTTATTTCAATTTGCTTTTCAATTGCTATGAACATGTGTAACTAAATTCTTATTAGTTAGTGGTGAATTCGAAGCCATGGACATATGTTTAATATGAATTATTCCTTTCAGTTATTGTTTCGTAAAACATGAATGTGATTTACTTATCTATTTGATTGATAACCTATTCTTGTGTGTTGATTAAGGAGGCTTACTTAGTTTGCATGCGTGAATTTGATGCTAAATTATAAAGGACTTTCACCTAATCGTTAGGAACTTATAATTACAAGTAGTGGAGATTGTTAGTCACAATCGTGTTAAGTAGATTCTTGGCAAAAGTATCATGCAGTTCATAGTTATAATTGCCTTGTCATTGCTTATGATTTCCAAGGAACTTAATGATCTTTGAATGTATCTCTATCATGCTGTTCATATAGGGAACTTGATGAGAATAATTTGATTGCGATGCGTTGTCTATTCAATTCAATGAATTTACGGAAATCTGAGAGTTAATTTGTGCATTCATGATTAATTTGGGGCATTGTCATTCATGGTTTAAAGAAACAATACTGGAAATCGATTTATGTTGCATATTTTCATGTGTGAAGAAGGATCCTCTAACTAGCCTTTCACCCTTGAATTCATCTCAATTTCGTTTTAACTTACTTTGCTTTGCAATTTGTTTAGTTTTACTTTAATTTCGTCAAAAACAATCCCCTCTTTCTATTTAGTGTTTTTAGGTCAGAATCTGTTCAATTTAGGTTCTTTAGAGTGTTTTGAGTCAATATAGGTTAGAGTTAGTCCATAAACATTGTTTGAGTCTCAATTTAGTCTTAAATTCGTCCAATTTACTCCCTAGAGTCTGTTTTAGTCTAATTGTTAGTATTGTGCTGTTTTGAGTCTTTTTAAGTGTGTTTTGAGTTAGTTAAGTCATAATCTGTTTTCTTTTAGTCTTTTGAGTCAAATTGAGTTTTATTTTCATCCAAATCAATTGTTAGGTCTAGAATTGAGTCAATTTCATCTAGTTTTGCTGATTTGAGTGTTTTAGGTCAGTTTAGAGTCTACAGAGTCTAGTCTTGTGTTTTTAAGTCTAGTTTAGTGTTTTAGAGTTTAAATTGAGTAGATTAGCTAATCCCCAGTTTAGAACGATCCCTACTTACATCTTTGCTACAATTGTCATCAATAGGGTTTAATTTGTGTGTCAAGTAATTTTCACATCAAATATCTAAGTTCTATTCTAACTGACAAAACTGGAATATAACATACTGCACCCAAAACACGAAAGGGAACAAACTTAAACACTCTTGTGACAAACTAGATCATGCGAAGAATAATCAACCATCTTAATTCAGAAGGTAAACGATAAGAACATTACTTCATTGAATTCTCTTGCTTGCGGAAGCATGTCTAAGCCTGTGGTCCCATCCAGAATTTGTAGGATCTCCTGCATGTATTAAAAGAAATATAGATAGGCACATATAGAAAAAGGTGTCACAAGACAGATTGTATGGATTTGGAGAAGTTACTAGATATCTCACATAATAAACTGGGCACATACAAATCAAAGAATACACGGATGGATATGGTAGTGGCAGGCATGAATAGATAGATTCACAAATCAAAGAAATGAAAGTATAAAGTGTTAATAATAGCACAAGCGGGTTATTTGAAATGTGGCATAAGCAGGTAAGATTTTCAGAGGTACAGTTACATATCACTAATAAACACTACGCAAAAGGTTTGAGAGCATGACAAAGTAGTTAAAAGATGTTCCTTGTTTTAATCCAATAAAAGGTCTCTGGTAAATACAATATCTCTAACATTTTCCTCAGCTATCACTTTACCAGACTTGATTTTACCTTTCACAGTATCCTATTCATGGACCCATATTGATTCCAAGGATGCAACTGCATCATCTTGCAAGAACTATTTTTCGACATGATACATTATCAAAGAACATACTATACTCAGAATTATTCTGTTCAAGGGGAAGTATATGCACTCACATGCCTAGATTTTTGAACTGGATAATAGAAAGATGATAAAAGTGTTCAACGGCAAAGCTTACATTAGGAGCACCAGGCATGACTTTGGTCACAGCTTTCTTGCATGCAATCAACTCTTCCATCAAGCTGTAATTAGTGTGCAGACCTGAAGTTATATACATGAAGTGCAGATGAATCAGCTAAGCTCACAAATTTACATAAACAGTACAACAGACGTATGAAAGGTTCTCGAACAAACTTACATCCAGAGGTGTCGCATAAGACAATATCATACCCTTGTCATTTCCCTCTCTTCACAGCCTGAGAAATAACTATTCAGAAAGCACTTTAAGACTATATGTCAGTAGTTATACCATGTCAACTGAAAAAGAAAATATAATTTCATCTGTCTGTTCAATCCAAGTTGTCTACCTACCTGATGGTGCTTTGGCCTTCTCTCTCTCAGCCACAACAATCTCACACACAGTCCTCTCGGCCCATATCTCCAGCTGGTCACATGCAGCTGCTCGAAAGGTATCCCCTGCAGCCATTAATACCTGGCCAATTTGAAACCACAAAGGGATTTAGACCGCAAAGCCACTGAAATAGGCATATTTACTCGCAAAGGACGAAGCCAACTCATTGCAGCCAGGACAATCAACAGATGAAAATGTCCACATTTGCCCCTCCATTCTTCAATCTATAAGCGAGCTTTCCTGCATGAGGAAAGTTGATCAGATCATTATCAATCTTAATGGGTCCTCGATCGCTTAAACCACATATAGCTGAAAGTATATTAAAGAAAACAGTCCCCAAATGTTGGATTTTGTAGTGATGTGTCACTGACTCACTATGAAGTTCGGATTAAAGGTTTCTTAAACTTGAGTTCATCTCCACTAAGTTTTCCCAAATATGCATGCCGTCAGAGTAAATAGGCTGGAAATCAAAATGTGTCTTAAGACATGAGCAGAGAGCACATGATACGAGCGGAGTTCTTTTCTTACCAAGAGATGTTGTTTTCCCGCCTCCATTAACGCCAACAATCATAACCACAGCTGGTTTCCTGATAACACAACAAATAATAACCACAATTAAACTCTAAAGCTGGACACAACATGTAAAACTCGAGAAAGCTCATCACCTGTATCCGAGTTGAAGTTCGGTTTTCCCTTTAATAGTTAACAAATCAAGCACACTCTTCTTCAACGCATCCTACAAACATCCCGATCCCGATACCACATTATTACATTTTACCTGCATACCAATTAACTTAAGTTTAACAAGCGCTCCTTTCGATTGCTCAACCAAATTTATATACCTAACTCCTATTCCTATATAATCGGAAGAATTTCGGTACTTTTCGGAGAGACAATGTTAATGTTCTTGCCAGCTGTTAGGATTTCCCTTAATTTCGCTTCCAGATTTCAGCTTTCCAGCAACTATATCCTCCCTTAAACTCTCCACAATTTTGATCGTGATTTTCGGCCCGAAATCGGATACCAGCAAAGCCTGAAACCGAAAAGAACATACTTAATACATTTTCCCCTGAAAATTGAGGGTAACTTTTTCCCGAGAAATAAACAGGGATAAAAAGAAAACCTCTTCGAGTTCGTCGAGGACTCGATCGGTGTCGGCGAGGTTCCAGTACAGCAAGAGCTTGTCAACGACGGCGAGATTATCGCAAGTCTTTGAGAATCCCGAGAAGAGTTTCTCCACGTCGCTGTTGGCCTTCTCCTTGATAAGCCTGCCGAGCCAGGTGAAGAACCCGGTCTGCCCCCCCCCCCCCGGCATTCGAACAGGAAATGGTCCGGTCCGGTCGGGCAAAGGAGAAGGCGGTGGTGCTGAGGCGGTGAAGTTTTGGAGATGAGTGAGAGACGAGGAGGGAGAGAGCACGGCAAAGGTGACGCCATTGCTGTTGAGCTCTCGGAGCTGAGGTTGGATTGTTTTTCGGATCTCAGATAATGTGGTAAATTTTGCAGTGGGTCTTCTCTTCTGAGTTGGCGCTTCCGGAAACGGCGTCGTGTTAGGCGGGAAATAATTTTAAAATATATCAAATTAAATAAAGCATGAAACCAATTGTGGTAAATGAAAAAAAAGAAAGATATGAAAGACCGATCTGTGTTAACTTTGAACTTGAGATGTTCGATGATTTGACTGAGAGTAAGAATTCTATGCCAATTGAAATAAGTTGTTATGAAAATATTCATAATGAAAATAATGAATTCAAAATAATGATGCAGATATAATTTGAAAATAAGTTTTATTCAAAATGCATATTGGGACTTACAATTGATTTACTGATGATTGAGTCAGCAAATAAGAAAGTGACTGATGAAAAGGATATTGGTGCACGCAGGCATCCTTGACATTTGAAAATTAAGGTGTTTACAATTTTTGATTTCTTGGAATACGGTGTGAACTCAAAGAAAATTTGAACTGAGGAAATGTTGTGAAAATTAACTTGTTTTTTCTTTCTTCGGAGTCTTCCTTTTATAGACAAGGAAAATGAGACTTGAATGATTGATTTCTTCACTCTTGAAGCATGAGATGACTTGCTTTTACTATTGATGAATAGTGAATTTGTCAGAATAATTGTTGCTTTTACTGTGGAGCGTGCTGAGTGATTTATGCTGACAGATTGATTCCTTGCTTTGTCGGAATATTGGATGCGAATAATGACTGAATGCTTCACACGATGATTGACATGGTGACTTAATGCATCCACATGGCTTTACTTGTTGTTTCACATGGTGCCTTGAAATGATGACTAAAATTTTCACATGGTGATTATCATGGAGTTCACATGACTTTATGCAAATGGGTCTTGAGAATCCTGGTAGTCAGCCCATTTGACTATTTGGTTGTTTGGATTGGCTGGTTGTTGAGATGATGATCTGAAAACTTTGAGTCTGAAGCTTTATCATCTCCAGTGTGGAGTATCGCTAATTCGGCAAGTAATTGATGAGCTAGGCCTTGGAGCTGGGCAGCTTTGTCCTTGCTCTTTATGCTTGTTGACTTGGATGACTTGACTGTTCTTTTTAAGGATGGGGATGGACTAATGTCCGATAATGATTATGCCGGAATGACTAGCAACAATAGCTGGGTTGGCATGACTGGAAATGAAGTAGTTGGAAATTCAGAGAGGACCTGATTGATGACCCTTTGTTGATTGAATTTATCCTACCACTTGACTGATCTCACCCTATAGACTTCACCAATTTCAACTTCATAATTCCACTTTAAGATCCATGTGACTTTGTACTTAGCCATGAATATTGGTAGAAGTGTAATACTGTAGCTGATTTTTCTTCTGTCGAATTTTGACTAGAAATTGGCGGAGATTTTCTACATAAGTTCTTCTGGTAAAAGACTGATTGTTGAGTCATGGATTGACCACCATTTTAGGAACCATGCATGAAACTTTAGCTTAAAATTTTTGTCAAAATTAATGAATCATGAATGACTGAAATCTTCCGTCTGGTGAAGAAAGATATTAGTCTAGGCATCAATGTAATTAAAATAATTGTAGTGAATATTGGGTAACTGGATGTATTGGGTGTGAAGGGTTTTACTTTTGGAAAGAAGTATTCTTCAATCTGACTCACTTAAAAATCTAACAATGCAAAGGGAATGGTATAGGATTTTGTTTTCATGGGTTTTACTGTAAAGTGGTTTGATGGAAATTGACTCGGTTTCCCTAAGAATAGCTTGATAGAATTTCAATGTTTTGTATGACTCTGTGGGTCGATAATGGAAGTTGGGTGGAAAGACATTTTTGACTAGTTTTTCTGGAGTTTGTTCATTACTGAGATTAAAAAGAACACTGAAAAGGTATTCACTAGGATTTTTTTTTACATATGGTTATGTTTTGATATAGCTGATTGGTTGGGATGAAGATAATGATGGGTTTGTTGGAGTTGAATATGGGTCATATTGATTGACTATGGCTGACTGGTAATTGGGACGTGGTGAGTGGTAGTTTGGCTGAGGGTTTCCTATTGTGGAACCTAAGGGAGTGAAACGGTTGGTTATGGCTAGGGCTGATGAAGAATTTGGGTTTGATTCTTGTTTTACTGGTGGTGGTGGTAGAGAGGCTGAAAGCCTTCTTCGATCAAGTTTTTGTTCTACTATTCTTTCCCGGCAGAAATTCTTTGGTTAGGAAATTAGGAAAGCAATTTTGGCTACCTTAGATGTATTCAATTTCAAAACAAAAAAATACTTAATATAGTTTGCCATCATGCAAAAATCTGTTTTGATGCAATGTTTTGAACATATGCTTTGCAGATTTGCAATTGACTTTGACTAAAAACTTTTGGTATAATAAATCATCTTGAATTTACTAATGCATAATACTATAGATAATATTTCTTTTTTAATAGTACTATAATAACTTTGTGCGGAATTTCATACTCTTGAATGGAAACGAACAATTTGTGCAGAAGTTCTAGAAGAAGTTGATTGTTTGAGAATACCTCTATAACCAATTTCAGACACATCAGATTCAACAATTTTGAATGAATTAGGAGTTGAAATGCCAAGACAAGGCAATGTCTTAACATGTGACTTAATCTGTTTGATTATGAAAGTATGAGTATTGGACCATGGTGAATGATTTTCTTTAGATGATCAAACAAAGGTTTGCATTGCTGCCTAAGGTGTGGATAAAAATCTGCAACATAATTTAAAGATCCTAAAAATCTTTGTAATTGGGTTTTGTTAGTGATTTCATCTGGGAACTTATCCATAAATTGAATTACTCTATCTATTGGCTGAATGGTTGACTGGTGGATATTGTATCCTAAAAACCTAATTTTGGTCTGGAATAACTTAATTTTGGTTGCTGAGACAACTAATCCATTTGACTTAATTATCCTAGCAAACATATTTAAGTGTTTCCAATGCTCATTTATCGATTTGGAATAAATGAGAACATCATCGATGTAAACGATTGAGAAATGACTGTATTGATTAAATATTTCATTCATGATATTATAAAACTCACTGGGTGCATTCTTAAGATCAAATGACATTACATTCTATTCATAACCACCAAAAGGAGTGACAAATGCTGTTTTATATTTATCATCCTCATGAATTTGAATTTGCCAAAATCCAAACTTCATGTCAAACTTTGAGAAGATTACTGCTTAATTGAGTCTCTTAATTAAATCTCTTTTGTTAGGAATTGGATACCGTATCCATTCCAAGACTTCATTAAGAGGTTTGTAATTAATGACTAACCTAGGCATTCCTCTTTCTAATTCAGCATTTTTCTGGACATAGAAAGCAGGGCAAGACCATGGTGATTTACTCTTTCTGATTATTCCTTTATTGAGAAGTTCTTGAATTTCTATTTTGCAGAATTCCATAACTTCTTGACTCGTTTGAATTGGCCTGGCTTTTGTTGGTATTTTCTTCTTTCTGTGCCAGAAACCGTTAGGAATGTCAGAACAAATTTCATTAACAAGTTTCTTTTGGAAGTTGTCAATGTTTTGTAATAAAGATTTGTTTGTTAATTGTTCTTCAATTCTTTTGTAATTAATTTCTTCTTTTAAGAAATTAATTTGTTGTGATTTTTTGGTAACTAGATTGATGGTTTTTGAAATACTATCTTTTTGTACTTGTCTTAATTTCTTGAGATCTGTTTCTGTGCAGAACTCAAATGTGATTTTTTTTGTCCTAGCATTTTCGTGGTTATGTGATGTGGTGTACTTTGAAAGGATATAATAGAGCTATGAAGGGTAGCCCTAAGATGACTAGATCTGATTTATTTTTTATCAGAACGAATGGTGTTTTAAAGCAAACATTGTTTTGACAAACATGTGCTTTCGAAATTTCATATTTTAACTACATTGGTGATTGGTTTGCTGCATTAAGGATTTCTGTTGATTTATGAAAATATTTAGTAGGAATTAAATCTTCATGGATACAATTTAAATCTGCACCTAAATCAATTAAGGCAATTGTTTCTAATTGGAAATCTTCAATTATTATTTTTACTTTAGAATACCATTTCTGGATTCTAATCTTTTGCAGTAATCCTAATACTAAGTTCTGTGTTGGATTATTTACGGACTTGGATTCTAATTCTTGATCGGATGAAGAATTATTTTGTTCTTCATCTGTTGGGGATTGGATTTCATTGTTCCCAAAAAATTCTTGTGTTTGAATGTTACAGAGATGTGAACAAATTTTTAGGTTTTCTGATTTTAGAAACTTAATTTCTTCTTTGATGTTATTGACGTCTCTTTGTAAATCCTTGATTGTAACTTCTTTCTTAGTTTTACTAAACCGTTCCAGGGTTGTACTAAGACAAATTTTTGGAGTTATATGTGGTTGACTACTACTGACCTCTCCTTGGGAAACTAATTTCTTAAGTTTTTTTAAGTAAAATGATTTTAACTTAGGGTCATCTATTTGACTGATTAACTTGATAAGAAGATATTCTTGTTTATTGAGGACTGAAATTCTTTTACAGCAAGTATCCCTGCATCTTATCTTGATGTTAGGGGATGAAAGGCTACTGAAGGAGTGACTGGAAGAAGATGAATTAAACTCTAAATCATCTTCAGATTGATTATGGTATGTGTCTCTTAATTCTAAGACTTGGATTAACTGGACTTTCTCTTCTTCAGAGATCTTAAACTAGTTGATTGTTTTCTTGACTCTACATTTGTTTGCATAGTGACCGAATTTGCCACAATTGTAGCAATTTACTTTTTGTTCTTGGTTTTTGGAGTGGAATTTTCTTGAGGGCTTCCTCTTCCACTTTTTGCTGGACTTGGGTTTCTCATAAAAATTGTTTGTTTCAAAATTCACATTTTTTAATTTGTATTTATTGTATTTGGGGTTCCTCCTATTTGGGTATCTATTGTAGGTTTTTGATTTCTTCTTTTTGTTGGACGGAGCAATTTGAGGTAATCCATATTGTTTACAGAATGTTCATAATTCGTATTTGACTATTGACTTGTCTTTGTTGACTTGTTTTAATCATTCCTTCTGGA